CCGGCTTCACCTCAGCGAAGTGCGCCTGCGCAGCTCCGGGCGTCGCCTGGAGCCATTGCGCCTGCGCCGGGCGCCGTTCCGCCCTCTCATGGCGCTGTTACCTAGCAACGGGTTTCCCCAGTAACCGCGGAGACAACAGAGTGCCGGCTCCCGCTGGGCTCCGCGGCGGGCAAAAGGAGGGAGCCGTTCGCTGAAGCGGGCCGAGGGAGAGCTGCCAAGATGGAGAACACGCGAGGCCCCCCCAGCGAGGCGGGCGCTTCTCCGTGTCCAGCGCCCCTCAGCCTGGTGGGCTCTTCGTCGCGTCCCAGGTCCCCCGGCCGGAGTGCGACGACGCGGAGCGCTGAGGACAGCATCTGTAACCTCCTGCCCCGCCTGGAGGAGAAGCCGGTCAAACCTCCCAGGTACGCGGGTGTGACAGCACCCCTTGCAAACAGGGTGACCGGTTCTGGCAAGGCAATACGTCTTACGGGTAACAGGTATTAAAAAACCCCAAATGACCTATTTTTTGCATAGTTATTGCTCCTCTTAATGAGTCACCGAGTGACATCTGAGGGTTTACAGCCTGGTCCATGAGCTGGTGATTCAGTTTAGTATCTTCAATACCATCTTGTTCATTGATAAAGAATTTACAAAGTGCTCTTTCCACCCAGAGGAATAACGTGACATCTTTGTTATTCGCACTTATAACAATTTTTCAGTGAGCAGCTGAAAAGTTGGGTTTTTTTTTTAATTTTTCTCAGTGCTACACTTCCATTATTTTCATGTGTTTTCTGACATTGTTTCTTTTGCTTCCCTTTCTCCCCTTACCTTAAAAACACACAAAAAAAGGGCCTCTTTCCTCCCTAGTATTAATTCCTTTGAGAGTTTTTGTAAAACTTACTTGATAATTACACAAACATGTTGTTTTTCAAGTCCGTCTTACTTTATATGAAAGAAAGCTGTTACAGTCAGCGTTTTCAGTGAAAGGTTAATGTAATCATCAGAAATATCAGTGGCACTCATTAGAACAAAGGTAGTTATCGCTTTTCCGGTAAAAGGATTCAGACTTGTGAGATTCCTAGTTCTGAACCTTTTCCATGTAAAAACAGACCACAAGCGTTTTTTTTTTGTTTGTTTCTGATGTAAATGAAAGATACTTTTGGCAGACAGAGGAAAGTGAAATGAGAGTACGGCAAGGCACGCAGCACACTCAATCCATTCCTGTCTTAACACCATTCAGGGATTTGCATACTACATGACCATCAGGTTCAGTTTAGGGCTTCCTTAGGTGGGATACAATCTGACTACATCATCTGATCTCATTTACTTCTGTCGTCACCCCACTTCCTGCTTTAGTTTGCAACATGCCAAATATCCAGCCGGTAACAACAGTGCTGAACATGGTTAATAGCATGCTCTGACCAGTTTTAACTAATGCATACAAAATGTAGGGTCTTTTTTATTTTTTTCAAATGAAATCATATGCATTTCACTCTCAATTGACCAGGTACTACTCATGAAACCATGGCAAGCATCCTCATTTTCCCCAACTTTGATGTCCCAAGATGACACCTAAGGAATAGTAACTGTCTGCTTACAAACATATTGTCTTCTTTCCCCTTGCCAAATAATGAATGAATGAAGATTCTGAAGTTCCCCATCACCACGTTTTCTTCCTTGCAACTCTCTCTAACCTTATGACATTGGTGTATGACAACATTTAGCCACTTTCTTGGCCTGAAAAGTCACTGAAAAATTACAACTGCAACATCTCTTTGTCCAAAGGAACACCTTTAGCTGTCTCCAAAAGATGTCTTTACCTTATGCCAATATGTAATAAACTCAATACCTTCTCATTCACTTTCTCATTCCAAGACTGTGTGAATCCTGCTAAGCCAAATTCCTTATAAAACTATTACCTTTCTCTATTGTGTGGCTACAATGCAACTCCTAGCAAATGGTGAGGAACACAACTACTTATGAATGTGGTGGGTTTGTGCCTATGTCCATAGCTGTTTGCCATGAATTTAACAGAAAGAATAAATAAAACTTCATTCCTTATAATTAGAAGTATCTCTGGAATTATACATAATCTTATGTACATGATCCTCTTTCTGATTTTGGAGACCAAATCTCCAGAAGACAAAATAACTCCACATTTTTAATGAAGTCTTCTTGCATATTCCAATTTTATGATCAAGAACAAATACACGTATCAGACATTTGCAGCTCACATACAAAAGTTTTTATCAGTGTTGCTACTATGATTCCCATTCACTGGTCCATCGTTTCTTTCATACTATTTCAGTATTTCCATAGAATAGGTTGCGTTATATGTAATCTTTTTTGTTCTTTTTTTCCTTACCTGAAAACATAGTATAGTTTTTTAGTAAATGCTTACATTTTTTCTGTTAAAGAAGAGCACAACTGTTCATCAGCTTTTGTCTATCATAAATTAACATGACATGTTTCCTAAAGATGGACAGATTTTAAAAAGTACAATGAGGTAGCCTTAGCTTCAGAGGCAGGAAGTTCTGCTGCCTTGGGAAAACATCTGTAACAGCTCATTCCTTCAGACAGAGGCAAGATGCTGCTAATCAGCTAATGATTGCTGCTAATGATCAGCATTGGCTTCTTTTGGAGAACGTGTATGCATACTTCCGATTAAAGCAGAAGTTACAGTGCCGTATCCCACATTATACCAAAACAGCAGTGTGTGCATCCCATGTGCGTACAGCTGTTCACGTTGGAGCCCTCACTGATTTTCACATCAGCTGTTTCAGTCAGTGCCAAAACCACCACTGACGACAATAGTTGAGGATCATAGTTCGGGTCTGTGTAGTACAAGAAATACAGAGTTTGCTGTGCTATTTCGGAGCAGTCATCCATCTCATCTCTTACAACAGTCTGTGACAGATGGTTCAACAGGAACACTGAGACAATGACACAGTGGACAGTAATAAGACAAACCGATGATCAAGGACATTCTGTCCAACTCTCAGCTACGTTTGACGTGTTTTCTGAAGCATGAGGTTTTACATACCTCTAAAATACGTTTCACCCCCTAGAATGAAGCAGTGAATGTTCTCATTATCAATACAGATCTCATCTTTTTTGAAGCCAGCCGAGCTTTTACTTGGATGCATTTGATTGCTGTGTAAGGCCCTACAACGTACTGCAACTGCAGCTTCTGAAACAGCTGAGGCACATCGGCATTTGCACCTTTCTCACACTGCAAACTTTAAAATACAGAAAATCTATCAAAGTAGGTTCATGATTACTAATTTCCTGTAGATGCACAACAGCTGCATATTTTGGCATTTTTGAACAAAACAAACAGCCACATTAAAAAAACTTTTCAAAAAGGAGTTAATTAAAAAATAAAGACCAAAGTGTGTAATGCACAACTTCATAAAAATAATGAATTAATGCAAGCAATACTTAAAGGAGTTTATTTCCAAAATTTAGGTTTTGTTGAGTTTCAAAATGTCTGTGTTCAGTATTTATACGAACAGTGCATACAGAAACCATTTCCCAAAGTCAACCAATACTGACCTTGGAGACACAAGAGAAGAAGGAAGACGGAAGCTAACTTCAGAATCAGAAAAAACACTTGTCAGTGCAGTGCTGGGCTTAGCCTTAGTATAGGGGTTGTATGAATGATGGCCTTTGTTTGGGACAGAGTACAAAACAAAATAGCTTAGGCTTTTGACATGAACTGCTGCAAAACTAGGTATTCTTTGAAGAAGTATTTTTAATAATTTTCTGACCTTTAACTTCTTTATGGCTAATTTTTCATGTCTAAGGTATATATCGATGTTTAGACCATCCGTGAAACGTGAAGCAGAGAAAAATAAAGCTCAGTGGAAAACTATGGGACCAGCAAAAGTTGCAGTGCCATCTCCAAAAAATTTTCTGCAGAAACATTCAAAGGAACCCAAGCTACCAGCACGTAAGCGTAGAAATTAAATATATGAAATATGATGTATTTTTTCAGTTTTAAAACTGATAATATTAATATTGAAAATAACAGTTATGGAGAACAAACTTTAAAAAAAAATTAAAATAATTTTTCCGTTGTTCATTTTATAGTATCTGTGATACCAAAATTATTTCTCTATTTTACAAAAATGTTTCTTCTTTATTGTGTAAAATACTGAAACAAGCAACAAGGAGATTATGTATGTGATTGGAAAATACAGTGAGTATTTACTGTCATGTGGTACAAAACCAGCTGAAATATAAAGAAAATTTATATCTCTTTTGGCTGCAGCTGTTCAGATGTTGAATATGTGTTGATGGTATGTTCTATCCTGCTGGTATTTCAATTTGTAATTATATATATTAAAAAATATATATTTTATATATTATATTATAGATCTGCAACTGGTCATTAATATTAAAGTAAATAATAAATGAGGGTATTAAAAGTGAACTGATTGTTTTTAATGCTTGAAAAGATATGGGAAAAGTATGTGTGCCTTTCTTGATGTTATAAGCAATATACAGCTTTTACTCTTCAGCACTTATTGTCGGCTCTTCATCCCGTAGCATTAAATTGGCTGGCAATGTTCACAGAACTTTTTGGAGAGCTGCATGTCACAGAAATAAGAAAACTGGAATATTTTGTTGCAAAATGCATTCTATCTTTGGACACAAACCATAAATCTGTGTTTAAGGAGTTCTTATGTTCAGCCTCATGGCTGGTTCTGCAAGGGGGGAGTGACCTTCTTAGTGCTGCTGGAGTTCTAAATACGTTGCTGTCAGAATTTCTAATTAAGTTGTAAAGTTTCAGTTTGAAATTTGTTTTAGCCTGGAAAAATAGCAGAGCTTAATGTACAGTATTAAAAAAAAAAGCTTTCTAAGAGAGTGTAGGAGTCCAGCACCCAAATTTGTGTGGCACATGCAAATGGCTTTAGCAATGAAAATACAGACTGTCCCAGGAGGCTTTGAAGGCTTAATGCCTCAGGCAATATGGATTATTAGAACCTTACAGTAAGCTTTGGTCCCAGAGGTCCTGTAGGCATCCTGGGGCATTTTTTAATAAAGCCTTCACTTTTTCAGGAAATCTGAACAGCGCTTAGTGTACTGGAATGTAACACTTCATGACATCTGAGCACGAATCCTTCCAAGCTCAAGACCTTGTTAAATTACCACACTAGAGTTTTAGATGGGCATATGAAAGAAGGTTGATTCACCAATAATTTGGAGCAGTCTGTAAGGTCCCTTTTAAGTACTTGTATTACAAAATTAGTGTTATCTACTTAAAATGTGCTATATATTGAGATACAGCACTCTGACCCATTTTTCTCAGACAAGCAGCTCACAATATTTCTATTTCAACTTGTTGATTCCAGGCTTTGTAATAGCAGTATGTGTTTTGGTGTTTGCATTTGGAGTGAATGTACCAGAGCCTCAGAATGACTATGACACATCATAGCTTCGATTCAGACTGGTAATTTCATTGCCATGATTAGATCCTAACAGATCTTGAGAAGGAACTGTATCATTAACTCAAAAAGTTCTTGTACCTTTGTTGGATGGAATTTCATACCTACCTCAGAGAAGTTACACTGTTTAATCACCTCTTTTAAAGCATGACACTTTCATCACTTGGAATTTAAGCAGTTACCAGTTGTCTAAATGGAATCCTGGCATTGTGTTTGTGGTATCTGCCTTCATAACTGGGTTTGATCCAAGTAGTTAAAAAATAGACTGCAAAGACAGAACAGAAAGATTGAAGTTTTTTTCCCTAAAGTCTGGGATAGTGTCATTCTTTTAGAGTTTGATTACTCACCACTTCCTTACAAAAGGTGTGTTTCCTAACCTTCAGCTGAATCTTCTTGTAAAAAAATTTTAACCAAGCTTGGCTGCTGGCTCCAGAAGTGGGGCTCTCAAAACAGCAAGTCTGCACCAGTGTACTGCAGATAAGGATGAGCCAGTGCTCATTGAGAAGCTTCAGAGATCTTGTTTCCAAATAGACATCCTAAGAGAAATACTGATTTAAGTCTGTGTGTCCTACAGCATTATGGCAAGCTATCAGGTTGTAAAAACAAAACCCAGGAAAGCACTGGTTCGTGGGGTCAGCATCAGGAAACCAGCTGCTGTAGGAATGAGCTCTGTCACTTGTGACATTACACTTTTCTGCCAAAGAAGAACATGAACTCAGACAACCTGAATCAAATCATTATCTCTGATAATGACTGTGAGTTAGAGTTGTATCTAGTGGGAAATATGGTGGGAAATGAATTGTCTTTCATCGCTTATCTGAAGTGAGACGACTTAGGAGACTGCTGACTTTCTGTTGATGCCTTGGAGAAAAGATTACACTAAAAAGGAAGACTTTCTATGTTCTCTGGAGAAAGGATTATGAGAAGTTGTTTACGAGTGTTAGGGAGCAGCAAGAGCAGGGCTTTTCCCTAAAAGGAGGTAAGCCACCTATTGAGGGCAACCACAATGCAGGCTGAGCAATGACCTCAGCAGCAGGGTGCAGTCCCACCACACCAGAGGCAGGCAAGCAGAGTGGGTCGGTGATGCGAATGTGTCCTATCAATGCCCAGTGACCATCAGGCAAGATGAGGTAACAGGCCAGGTCCATCCAGTGATTCCACATAGCTCTTCAGGAATAGGACTAGGGGCAGGCGTGGCTGAGACAGCTCAGCCAGGCACTGACAGCACAGGGCTGAGCTGAAATGGGGTTCCTGAGCCCACGAGTGTGGGGTGAATGCCCCAGGTGAGACTGGGCAGGGCCTTTAATGCCTAAGGTTTTGACAACGAGCATCTCTAGTAAAAGTAGTTTTAATTACATTTGAAAAAAGTGCCATACTACTGCAGTTAAGAGGAAATGAGTGGCATATTATATGGAAAACCCATCTAAAACAACATAGTATTTCTTAGATTATGAAACTTGTTATGCCAAACAAGCATACTCAATTCCTAGCCAATTCTTTCGTTGTATATACAGTTGGTTTCTATTTTTACGTAATTTTGTACATAATTTTTCCTTTCTGAAAAATGTAATAACATTAAAATTGCAAAGCTCTTCATGATTATTGCTGAGAATGTTTACATGCTTAATTCACAGGAAAGAAAGAACAGGACAGTAAGAAATTGCCTGCATTATCAGTGCCACGGAGGACAGATCACCCAGTTATGGGAATTCAGAGTAAAAAGAATTTTATAAATACAAATGCGGTTGCTGCTATCACAGGATTGCCTAAAAAGCCTCAACCTATTTATGTTGATACAAGACAGGGAGATAAACACATGCTTGAAACTTCAGGTCTTGTTCCAAAATTCATTAAAAAAAAGGTAAGTTTTATTAAATTATAGTGGAAATACTAGTAGCAATGCCTATTTTAGGTTCTCTATTGCATTCTCCTATGAAATGTTTATGATTCGTTTTGAGGTGTTCAGGTACCACTGCTGTTTGTGGTAGACATTTGAAATTCATAGATTTCATAGATTTCTAGGTTGGAAAAGACCTTAGAGATCATCCAGTCCAACCGTCCCTAATCTCATCCACCTGAGAGTTCATCTGGTAGTTCATCCACCCTTTTCTTAAACACATCCAGGGATGGGGACTCAACCACCTCCTGGGCAGCCTATTCCAGTGGCTGACAACCCTTTCAGAGAAGAAATTCTTTCTAACATCCAACCTGAACCTCCCCTGACTAAGCTTATACCCATTTCCTCTTGTCCTATCACCCATCACTAATGGAAAGAGCTCTTCCCCCACCTCCCCACCATCC